CTCTAGACGTCACTTACTAACAATAATTGCTATCGAATGATGCGTACAACTTATCTTAGATAGGAATTATCGGAAACAAGACATAGCCATCTTATCTGATAGTCAAGCAGCATTAAAAGCGATCAACTCAGTATCAATCAATGCGAAGTTGGCCAAAAAATACCTAGAGAAGCTGAACAAATTAGGCAAAGCAAATAAAGTCATCCTAGTCTGAGTACCAGCCCACCAAGGGATAGAAGATAATATGAGAAAGCAAACGATCTAGCTAAAAAAGGAGCAAACACTCCACTAACTGGACCAGAACCGTTTTGCTTCCCAAGTGAAAACCAATAACTCAAAGCGAAACTCAAGAACTTGGAATCCTCTCGGGAATCCTGCATCGGACACTCGAAGAAGTTTCTCAGGACTTACTACCGAGAAAAGTCAAAGATTTCTAATTTAAATAAAAACAATCTTCGGATTGTCAGGGGGTTTTTAACAGGACCTCAATAAACAACTCAGTACATTGAAGCTAAGAAATAGGCGAGATAACAGCGAATGCAGATTCTGTTGGGAAAATGGGGAAACATCAGAACACCTCATCACTGAGTGCACCGAGACGACAACCATTCGTACCATAAACTTTGGTACGACTGATATCGGAGATGGAGAACTACCCTCTGTAAAACCGTCTCAGATACTGGCTTTTGTCAAAACCCTAGGACTGTATAATGAGTTATATCTTAAGAAAGGGGGACACAAATTGCCAAAAAATGTAAAAATATAAAGCGGTTTTTGTTGACTAAGGTATATTATTCTATGGAGGAGTTTTTTTGCTGATGAGCGGCAGAACTTCTTCTCTAGACTGGAAATGTAAATAATACGAAATAGCTGATAATTTGTGAGATACAGAGGCCAACTTATTTTTTTTTAAATACGGACCTGCATTTTTTAATTCTGGTTAATTTTTAACTCGGTCTCTAGCTACTATCAGATAGCCCTAATAAAGTGGCTATGAGAATGTGCAATTTGTTTTTTGATTTTCTTAAAAATAACGACAGGAAAAAATAAAATTGATTTTCAAAAAAATTCGTTTTTTTTTCCAAAAAACTCAGCAATCCTTCAAATTTTTAAAACTTTTTTGATGGCATCTTGGTAAACATCACAAAGCGCAACTTTGCCCCAATTTAACCATGTTCGTATCTATTACGGTTACCGAGTTACCAATGCTCGTACCTCGAATTTGTAGCACCCTGTATAAGTAATTGTTGGTATATAATTTAATTTAATCTTTAAATTATAAGTAATTTAAATATTTTCTTTTCGTTTTAAGTATATCTATTGTTTTTTATTTTGACATTGTTCCACGCTTCTAAGGAGCATTATATTTTGGAATAAATAAAATCTTATCTATCTATAACACAAGAAACGGATACAAAATAGATCTATAAAGTCGCGGTGATTAACTTCCTCCCTCCCATATACAATCTACATCACTACTAAAAAGTGGAATTTGTCAAAAAAAATGGAATTTGTCAAAAATTAACACCAACTAAAGAAAAATTCAAAATGGATAGAACGCTTCCAGACACAAATCTATTTCCAAAAAAATATTTTTCTCGAATTAAACTACACCATTTAAAAATTATTTTTACTCAATATAAAAATAAATTACAACCTTCTTAAGGCCAACCTTAAAAAATCGGTCAAGTAAATGACGCGTCGGATCAAGTAAATGACGCATCAAGTAACGAGTACTACAAATAATACTACTCCAAATATCACAGAATTACACAGGACACAGCCAAAGCAAACACAATAAATGTGTGGGAATTGCATACCTATATTTTAAATGTTACAAGGTTCGATAATAATAAAATCAAATACAATGTAAACGTAGTTTGGAGGATATTATTCAAGATCGATCGTGATTCGATATTTTATAATTTTATATTCATAGACAAATATCAAATATATCTTCAAATGTCACATCCATTTTAAATACCGAACAGAATTTTAGCAATAAGCCAGTTACGTTACTTAAATGTCAAATTCAATTATAAATAATCTATTAAATAACACCATACTATAACAAAAGACTTAATACAATATTTATGATATATAAATAAAAAATATATAAATAAAAAAAAATATAAATCTATATAAAATATCCAAATGAAACGATTTCTGAACCATATTTAGCTAGAAAAAGTAAAATTAATTATTTATTGAAAAGTCGACCTACAAAGATCTAAAAATAGTTCACAAAAATGACCTCACAATACCATTTTTTGTTTCTAAAAATCTCATATAAATGTTAACAAAAAATATATTAATCTTTAATAGAAGTACCTATATAGGTATGTACTCGGGTAATTGTAGACCAAAGGGAGTTAGACAAAGAGATAGACCAAACGCAATGGCATGGTTTTAATATAAAAATTACGAAAAAATGTTAGTGTCTTCTTCAAAAAGGAATATCTTCAAAACAAATAAAGCTATTGAGACGAACCAAAAAACAAACTGTCGAGAAAAGAAACATCTAGATGATAAACTATTTTTTACATTTTTTGGTTTGTTAACTTATTCCACAGAGTGTGAACAGACAACATGCAACTAAATGATATATTTTTCAAATTCCTTACTTTTTTAACATATTCCACAGAGTGTCCCAAACTTTCACCTAAATAACATTTTGTGTTCCCCCGTATAATTTTGGATAACAGTATAACAGATGGGATAACGTATAACAGATGGGAACTTTCATTTTCAATTTAAAAAGAGATACTAAAAAGTCAAATAATTTAACTACATATTGCCCAAAATATCATCAAAATCAGTCCACTAGAACACAAAATATAAAATTTTAAAATACATCAAAATTTTAAGATGCCCTTTTTTCGTGCCGGTGGGTGTATATTGCGACAAAATGGAAATCGACGACAATGGTTTATATTGTATTTTTTTCAATATTCGAGTCCAAAAATCACCACGTGAACCCTCGTACTAAGTCTAATTAAGTGCCTACATTTCAACAAATGCGTTCATGTAACTCGCAACAAAATGCAAAATAAATATGATGTTGCTACGTAACCTTGACGGACGTCACACGTTTAACTGGCATACAACGAAAAAATAAATGACCTTAGCACATACATGTACGTTGTAGGTACGTGCATTAGATCAGACATTTAGAAAAAAATACGGGGATTTATTAAATTTTCTATATACCGCGTATCTCAGTAAACATTTTCCAATCAAGTATCTTATTTGGATACAAACTTAGAAGTTCTATGTTTAGTAGCTATTATAGCAAACAAAATTAAACTATTTAATTTAGTATATATCTATAACCTGTCTAACGACAAAATACTAAACAGTAACAGTTGTCTATCCTGTAAGTTACAGGAAAATTGTATTTTTTGTGTCATTTTTTTGGACGTCATGTGCCAAAATCTTCTTTTACCCGTTGGACAAACTTTATACAACTTTTGCGTAAAAAGTAATAAAATATATATCAAATTTTTAATACGTAAAGCATATATCATACGATCGAAAAATGCAACGTCAGAGTTACCTTGGAAATGAAAATCGCTATAATTTTAATGTAAAATAATAGAGGAATTTAAGCGATGATCATTTCCAAGACAATTCAACACCTTTTTTTATTATGTGTACTGTACATCTGCTGCAAACCTAACCAAAATAAAGTCATCGAATTGAAAGTGCATCTTTAACAACACGAATGACAAGACAATCATCAATAGTATACAACTTTAAAACTGAAGATGTAAAAAGTGAAATATTTACAATGAAATAATAGATTGAAATAAATAAGCCATTTTGATAAAAGGAGTAGAAATGTCAGGAATAACGATGAAGATATTTGTGACGGTTTAAAAATGATATGACTAATATAAAGAAAAAAATTTGATCGACTATTTTAAGCATTGAGAATAAATACACTGTTATTGTCATCAATTATTACGTTGTTGAATATTATCTGAAAATGTTTTAATAAACGGATCTGATGTAAGAATCAAATCTAAATAATGATATGACATTATCATCATAATAATTTTAAACGAATTTATCGAGATATTTGGCGTTTAGGGTGTTGCCACACTGGAAGAATTTCAAAACGATGACGTAAGATATTTCAATTTCAAACTACTTTCTCGGGCAGTTTTAAAATTTGATCATTAATGGAAATTTGAAAAAATAATGATCTGGGTTATTAATTTTTATACTCAAATCTTAAATTGGTTTGCTAAAAAGTTCAAATATTTAGATTCTTTCATAATCAAGTTTTATTATGTATTTATGTAGTTGTTCACTGTAAATAAATGCAAAAAAAAAATAAATATGTTCTAGAGATATGTGATCATGATGACATTAAGTAAATCAATGATTTTTGCTAAAAACAATAAAGTCTATAAGTACGTCTAAGCGACTAAACAGATGCTTTTTTGAAATTGGTACAGGTTATGTATCAGCGCGATCGGTGGTGTTACGTAGCGACTGCAGGAATAGCGCGTCGTAGTGATGTGGCAGTGCGACGCGCTGCCTACGACGGACGATAGGCCCAAAAGCACAGGAGGAAGTATGCGGCGGTGGTGCGGATGATGAGAGACGGTATGCGACATGAATGGACCCAACCCCAGAGGAAGTCCAGAGAGGAGCAAAGCGATGAGGAAAACTCACCGGCGGCGGGCAAGGAATTCATCAAGTTCCGCAGGAAGAACGAATCGTCGTGCCGGATCATTAGAGCGGGTGCGTGGCGGCGGCGGCTTGGGGTCCTCGGCGGCGGCCGGCATATGCGGGCGTCGCGACGTCACGAGCTGCGCTGGAACCAGCGTCCACGGCCACTCGCGACCGCAAGAGATATTGCCAGCTGATCGGGCCCGGCGGCGGCGGCGGCACCCGACGCCGACGACGATTGATTCGTCCTTCCCGCGCGCCGAACCGTGGCGCAACCATCAAACAACAAACCTACTGACTGAGTGACTGACGTGCATTACCTGAGCTAAAATGCGACCGCTTCGAGTCTCCGTTCTCCGTGTCCCCGTCCAGCGGTCTCTTCCTGGAGTCCGCGATTTCCGGCGAAGGGCACGTTTCCATTCCCGAGTCGGCGGCCATCTTCCCAGGTTCAGAGGTCCATCAGCGCAGAGAGCGGGAAGGCAGGCCGAATTGACACACTCACTGCTGCACGATTTTGCGCGCACACACACAAACGAATCACTTGAGGAACGGCGCTCCTGCGGACGAATAGCTCGAACTCCGGTCGGCAACTGACGGCAAACTGCTGCGACAACGGCACGCTCGCGCCTGGTGCACGAATTCGCGGCCGACGGCGACGGCTCTGATTAGATAGCGCGCCAGTGGATCCCCACTTCCGCGAGCGGCGCGGCGCCGGTACCGAAAACACGGGGAACCAACCGAGGACGCGAGCAGCACCCCATTTGAAAGCGACCCTCACACCATCACTAATATTTTCTATATTTTGGATTATTAACAATATTACTAAGAATATATGAACGTACATTATTGATGTATTTTTAGTATATTGATGGGATTTTCAGAAAAAAAACTATATAAAATTATTAAACATTTATAAAGGAACTTAAAACCTGCGCGAATAGAAGGTGTGAAAGCTTTTTTTCTCCTCTGCGAAAAATAATTCTCCAATTTTTTTCCCTAACTACAAATATGTGCACGATTCCTAACCACCAGTCCTCTCCACTAAATGGACCAGAATCGTTCTATTTCCGAAGTGAAAACCAACTTAAAGCAAAATTCACGCGTAACAGGCGTCAAGCGTACAAGAGACCGGACACCGAGGGCAGTTATATAGATGTCATTTTAGCCATGTTATCTTTTGTTTTACCAATCCCACTTCTTAGTCTGTTGAGGAACTTCCATGTTTTTCATTACAGGTCTGCACCTGGCGGAAAAGATTCAGAAGGTGGCATCCATGATGCGATATCTGCATTTCTCAGTATCCACAAGTTTTGTCGCGGCATCGATGGAGGTACACCGTCAGCGATAATAGTTTTTAAGAAGATCTTTCTAGATTTCACACTATTTAGGGGAGGTTGATGTCCATGCAACGGATGAGCAGTGTTTACTTCCCTTTTATGTCTCTCTGTGTTAGCGGCAGCTTCCTTTCTTATATCTAGTGGCCTGATGTTATTCGACATGTCTCGCAATATCCACATGACTGGCACGAGCAGATCTGTACCAAACTGGACAAGCATATTCTGCAGCAGAATATGCTTGTTGGTACTGGTGCCTACGTTCTGAGTACCTACTGTTGGTTAAGCAACCCATCCGTTACTTGTAAGCTTCCGAATAATATTATTGCGGGCAGATACTTTTTGTTTTGTATTTAAACAGTGCTTCCTAAATGTCAGCGAACGATCCAGTGTAACCCCCAGATATTTTGGATTACGGCAATGTTCCAGCTCCATGCCATTCAATACACCAGCGTTTAATTTTTGTAAATGAAAAGCACATACATTGGTTTTAGCCGGATTCGGTTTTAGATGGTTACCTTGATAATATGCCGTGAGAGTGTGAAGCCCATTTATTAGATACATTTCTACTGTATCGAAATCTTTTGCTTGAGATATTAGCACCAGATCGTCATCATAAGTAAAACTTTTTGTGTTAGGGGGTGTGGCTGGTCGTTGCTGTAGATGTTGAATAAGGTTACTGACAGAACGCTACCTTGAGGTAGCGTTTTTCTTGCCATTTAGTTCTACATAGAATCTACGGTTCTGGAGAAATGACTCTGTAACGAGGCTGGTAAAGCTGTAATCTTTCGTTTTTTGATATAATTTATGTAACATGAGATTATACTGCACAGTATCGTAAGCTGAGGAGAGATCAAAACCATCCAAAAAAAAACCGCTCAAAACCATCTTCGATATTCTGTGTAAGGTTGAAGATTTGTGCTGTGCAATTTTTATTTGGTCTAAATCCAGCTTGTTGTGGGGTATTATTCCTATAATATCCCCTACACATGAAAATTGTGAGAACCTAAGCCTAAACCGTTTTTTTAACGACTCAATAACAGTTCATAATCGGGAAAAGAAATTACAAGTGCTCACTATTCCGCAAAAAAAATGGTATAAAAATCTCAAACAGAAAATTGAACATCGAGGTTTACGGAACAGTGTGTCATCAACACCACCTTGTATAGGTTATTAGAAACGATTAAGAAATAGGCAATTTCATTTACACGTAATAAAATAATGAAAATGTAAATCTTAAATAAATCACAAAAATATTCAGTTTAAAAAATGAAATTCTTGTTTGTTATTGGAATAACTGAATCCATTTTTAAACTAATTTTTCAGCCCTGAAGCAACTCTCCCATTTATTGGCAATACAACAAATCGCAATAAATTTAGTCTTTAATACGAAATTAAATCTGATTAAAACAGTCCAACTTTAGTAATTTCCTAAACGAAAACGAACTTGCGAAAGAAAAACCTATTTTCTCGAGTGTTTTCTCAATTTGTTATTCTGAAACGAACTGGATGTTTAGAAGACAACTCTGAATATAAAGTCTGAAAAATAGTATTTTTTTAGTAATAATGAAGAATTCAAGTCCGAATATATCGAAAATAATCAACATACAATCACTGTCACATAGATAAAGTCCGCATCATATAGAACTTTTTTTATTCATTGACTTAGATAAAATTTTTACTGCGGCGATAGTTAGTAGTTATTTGATAGTGCTTTGATTTAGATTAAAAATTAAATCTTACCTGTGGCTTCCGGGTATCTGTCAAATTTGACATTTAATTTCTAACGGCTAAAAAATGGGTTTACTGGCAGAATTTCCAAAAACTTTATGTGAAAAAGTTGTTTCTTTTTTAATTTTATATCAGTACACCGATTTTCAGCCATCTAGATGAAAAATAAGATTTTGTAATTTTTAACCAATAGCAGCCGATTCTCATGGTAGAAGCAAAAACAACTGATGATAGTTGGTTGGTTAGTTATATATTTACCTACCGATCAGGGCAGGCGGAAGGCGGCCGCCCGGGGCGCCGTATACAAGGGGCGCCACAACGACAACTGAAATATTTAAAAACAGTACTCTAAAAAAAGAGTAACGAATGACCAGAACAATAATTAATCGGTACTATCAATTTCCACAGTAAAATATTACCAATTACCACACCACATAGGGAAGAATAGCTGACTAAACATTATAAACACTATACTATATCCTAGACGTATCCTATTATAGTTTACTGAAAAAATCCTTTGCACGAAAGTTTTTGTGATAGTTTTAATTTCTTCCATTCTATATGTTTTTTGGGTGCTCTATTCGAAACTGGGATTTGCGAATTCATTTTCGTGGAGAAATCTTAAACAAAATAAAATAAAAAATATAAATCTGATTTGTTCGTGGTATTTTACTTATAATTTAAAAGCTATCAACTTTCTTTATAAATAACCTTCCTTTCTATAATTCGTGTTTTATAAATTTTCTTTAAACAAACTGTTTTGGGCCAAGAGCCAGCAAAATTGAGAGTTTTAGCTCAAAATCGCTCTTTTCTACTACCATTTTATTTGTTATTAATGGCTGATGTACCTTAAAATTATATGAGGTAAATATTCATTTGCAAGCTCGATATCCTTATTATCCAAAAAAAAAGCTTATAAGTTTGCCTCATTAGTTAAATTAATTTATTAACAGTAGTGGGAAAATATATATCAATCTTTTGATGATTTTGATTTTCCCAGTTGAATCTGTAATAATACACGGAAAATGGTAGCAGAATCGTAGAATTTTCTCATTAGAGAAAGACAAAGGAATGCATCTCAAACACTCGCTGAACCTCATTTTGAAGTTTATGATCAGATACAAAACTGTATCTGATCATAAACTGATTCTGCACGAAATAATTGATTGTGAAAAAGAAAAGAAAATTTTCTTAAATTCTAATATAAAAATAATGCAACTGCTTGAAACTAAATACTAATATTTTCAAAGATCACTTATACCAGAACGGGACTGCCGAAGTTGGAATTCTATTTCTCATAACTCTATATACCGGGTGCGTCTCAAAAGTAGCTCACCCCTATAACTTGTTTATTTTTTCAGAAAAAAAAACGAAATTTGGTATGTTAGTATACGACATAAATTAGGATTAATTGACGTATTCAATTGTTTTTGGTCACTTCCTGTTTCACCGGAAATTACTACCTACAATTTTTGATTTTTAAATGGCACCCTCGATGGCATCCACGGTATATTTCTACTTTATGACATATGTCATCTTTTGATATTTTCGATTAAAAGTACGATTTTGGCATCTTATGGACCGGCCACAAGACATGAAAAACATTAGACGATTAAATGTATTTTTCCATGTTCCTTGTTTAAAAATTAGTGTTTTTAATAGAGCCATGGCACTCTAGATTTGAATTTAAAATATAAAGCTTTTTGAACGAAAATGTCAAAAGTTGATATATGATATGTCATTCTACTCAGAGTGTAATTTTCTATCAAATAAAGATAAAGTAGAAATATACCGAGATGATTTCAAAATCAGAAATTTTAGTCATTTCCGGTGAAACAGGAAGTGGCCAAAAACAATTGAATAGTCAATCCTAATAATTTATGTCATATACTAACATATCAAATCTCGTTTTTATGTAAACAAATAAAAAAGTTATAGGGGTGGGTAAATTTCGAGACGCACCCGGTATACAAAAAACAAAAACCGCAGACTAAGATTGAAAGAAGAGTAGAATTTTGAAGTATCTTTAAGTGAAAATTTATTGTTAAAGTAGCATAAATATGGTTAGTTGTAGTTAAAGGATAGTATTGAAAGAAAAAGAGAATTATAATAACTGGGGGGGGGGGCGCCAGATAGGGTACGCGCCCGGTCTCAATATTTATTTGCCTTCCGCCGGCCCTGCTACCGATCATATATTCAGTAAAATTAATTGAATATGTTAATAGTTTTTATAGAAAAGTAAATTTAGTTGTCAAAATTAGACAAAAAGTGATGCAAAGTATGAATAACTTATGGAGATAGCATCATAAAATTCATATTTTTACATACTGGGGGCTTATTTGCAGTAAATACCAAAATCTATTTTTCATAGCCTACCTATAGAATTGTTTGGTTAAACAATTGCCCCTATACGGTCTCTCATCAAATTAAAATGAAAGTGTTATATAAAAAATTAGTTAACTAACTTACCACTATAGCAGGCCTGATTTTTAAAGAAAATCTAAACATAAATTGGGTAATTATAGAGAAAAAATGTATTGAAATAATGTGACCTTCACATAT